GAAAGGAGAGAATCGAAATTAGAAAGTGAGAGAATGAAGGAGAGTGACTGAGAGATTTTTATTAATTTATTTCTGTATGTATTTGTGGATATTCCATGCACCTACCCAGACGACCGTCTACGGTAGATCAGGCTAGCGGGAATAGCAGCTAGCGACGCACGAAGTAGGAGAGATAAGGAGAAGTTTACATCCAGCCATTTCTCACCAATCCGGTAACCGAGCATTCCAAGTATAATTGCTGATAGTGGGAACGACCATTTTCATCAATTTTGTAATTGAGCATTCCAAGTATACCCGTTGAGTACGGGAACAGGCAGTTTCCTGATTCGGTAATCAAGCATTTCAAGTACCCCCAATGATAGCGGGAGCAACTAGACACATCAATCTGGCAATTGAACACTACTTGCATCCCCGCTGCTAGCGGGGGAGCACGTTTCCAGTGACTTGCCAACCAGGCAACCCGCTGCCGGCGGGAGGGTACATTTCGAGTGAACTGCCAATCAGGCAGCCCACTGCCAGCGGGAGAGGACATTTCAAGTGAACCACCAAGCAGGCAACCCGCTGCTAGCGGGAGAGCACACTTCAAGTAATCTGTCAGTCGGGCAACCCGCTGCTTGCGGGTGACCACATCTCTCGTGATCTGCCAATTGGCCAACCCACAGTTGGCTGGGGAGCACATTTCTAGTGAACTGCGAATGAGATAACCCGCGGCCAGCGGGAGAGTACACTTCAAGTAAACCGCCAATCAGGCAACCCGCTGCCAGCAGGGGACTTCATTTCGAGGTGAACTGCCAATTAGGTAAATCGCTGCCAGTGGGGGAGGGTATTTCAAGTGAACTGCAAATCAGGCAACCCGCTGCCAGCGGGAAAGGACATTTAAGGTGAACTTATTTTTATTTGTTACTCATTTAAAGTATAATTTATATAATCTCTTCTTTTGAGTTGTACGGGGATACTTGGTTAAGCCTGAGAACGCTTGGGGACTTTTGAGTCTGATACAGCGAACTGGGCGTCTGAGCCCGGTTGAACCCCTAGAGTATGTGAGGCTGATGAGACAGGGAGAGAGTGACGGGGGTTGGGGGGCCCTACCGCTAAAGGCGAGCCCGAAGAACGGCGAATATTTCTGATTAATTAATCTCATTATAATCCTATAGGCAGCGAGAGTCTTCGGACATGAAACTCATAATGGCCATGCAGCAGGTGAGTGCTGAGGCCATCACCCTGCTGATCGCCGAGGACCTCGGAGGCAGGCGTGGCGAGTGACAGGCGCCGTTGCCCTTGGCTTCGGCGAACGGTAGGCGACCCTTCCCCGGGTTTCCTAACAACTTTGGCGCCGTTGCCGGGGAGGGGAGCAGCACCCCCAAGGCCGCGCCCTTCCCCAACCAACGGGGGTGCACGGGCTGATTAGTCAAACACTAATTAGTTTGTTTTCTTGATTAGTTTTATTTTTTATAATCATTTTATTTAGTATTTTTGAAATATCTCCCAATCCGCGCGCTTTTGTGCGAGCCGCGCTGGGAGCAAAGTTCGCCCTCT